TTCCATCTTAGTTCTTACCAACAGGCAGGCTGTCAGTTTATTTGTCAAATCAATTTTATAAAAAAGTCAATATTTTGTATATCAACACATTATGGACGTTTTTTAACTTATTTAAAAAAGAAGTAGGTTCTCAATTCGTGTATGTTTTTTTGTAGGTATGTTACGCGATATCTTCGCAGTTTGTGAACCAATTTTGATGATTCTTTTTTTGTCTTTTGTTTTTCTGTTTTTTATGGTTCCATATAACTTTGGAGAATTTGAAGTCAGTTTTTACTTTTTGTTAAAAGTTGTAATTATTCTATATTTTGTGAATACCCCGCGCCCTTGCACTTCACCAAATACCTATAAATCAACTATTGCGCATCTTAAGGCTATTCACACAACTCGTTAGCAACAGTTGTTTTGCTGAATTCAAAATTATACGGGCAAGCTTTCAAAATCAAGTGAAGACAAGTCGGCTGCCAACCACAGTTACTTGAAATGATACTTGAGATGAAAAATGTATTCAAGAAAACCGAAGAGTTACATTACTTAGAGCTTGCGCGAGGACTGGGTACTGGATCAGCAGGAATGTAAAACATCATTCAACTCTTTCACCAATTTTCTCTACGTAAGCATGGATCAAGATAGTTTCCGCACAAACTTACCGATGAAAGATTCGTATTTCAACGTACGATATACGACTTAGGGACCTTCAAGAAAAGAGCGTACTCCTTTTTAATAGGCCGGCAACGCATCTGCAATTCCCTCCCTGGTGTTGCAGTTGTTCATGGGCGGCGGTAGTCACTTACCATCAGGTGAGCCGCATGCTCGTTTGCCCCCTCTCCTATAAAATAAAGTAGTAGTAACCATCTCCAACACCTGTGCAAATTTTATTGCTATCTCCTATGATTGTTTCATCATTTTTATCTTTTATGAAAACTTTACTCCCACACTGGGATTTTATCCTGTATCGTGGATGCAGTTTACGTACATAAATTGCACAAGGACAAATATCCAGACCCGGAACAATTCGGACGACCCATTGTGATCATAATCACAAAATACATTTATTTTGTCGAGACGATTGTTCATAGATATGGTAAGATCCATTAGGTGGCGTTGTAGTCGAGTTATTACAAAATATATATTTATGGACTAAAATGACTCATATAACCAATATATTATGTTTTAATACCAAAGAAGAATAGAATAGAATAGAATATTTTTTATTCAATATACATTACATGTGTAATTCTTATTGAAAGTCATTTTTTACTTTACCACTGGTTCGAAAAAAACCCTCTGTCCTGGGAAGAACCAGCAAGAAACCCAGCGGGACTTTTTTTTAAAATAAATTTTACAATATAAATCATTACGAACTATTTACAAAATTTATTTTAGAAACTGCTTGGAAGCGATCACCTCCTTCCCAGGGGTTATTATCAACCATGTATTCATTTATACTATAATAACCCTTTTTATACAGTTTCAGCTTAATAAAACATTTAAACTTGGTAATAGAGAGAACCTGTACACTTTCCGGGACCTTGTTGTAATAGTGTATACATTGCCCCAAGAATGAATTACTGACTCTGTGGAGTCGAGAAACTGGTATCACTAGCTTGTGTTTGTTCCTAGTGTTTACAGAATGCATATCACTTCTTTTACTAAAACTATCTTTGTTTTTGTGAACATACATTAAATTTTCGTAAATATACTGAGAGGCCAAAGTTAATATATTAATTTCTTTAAATTTATCTCTAAGAGACTCTCTCGGTTTTAGATTGTAAATAGCTCTAATGGCCCTCTTCTGTAAAACAAAAATAGACAAGTCCTTCGAGCCGGATATTGAATATAATCATTATGGTCGGCAAAATAAAAGGTAAACTGTATAATATAGGTTTATTCACTAAGTAGGTACGATAATTTAGAATTTATATTAAATATTTTAAATGAGCATTCACGAATATGTCTGAGATTGAAGTGTTGATGTAGGAAGTACATTGTAGAGCCATGCTGCAGCTATATTATGGTTATAACACGAATGGGTCGGATCGACTGGGGAAGACCACGCCCTCTCAGAACACCAGTGTTAAATGCTCCTGCCCACGACACGGTTTTAACACACCCTGGTTTTTTGCCGGCGCCTGATAGAAACCGTCCGAGCTTGTACACAAGGCGGTTTATACACGACCCGGTTTTATAGAGGCGAGCATCGTGCCCGGCTGCCCGGTGAGCCGGCGCTAGCGCCGGCGTCGTGTGATTGGTTTCATAGTGTCCCATACAATACTGACGACCGGACGTAGACCCGGTTTGACGCTGGGCTTAGCTCCGGCGAAAAACCGTCTCGTAGGCATGAGGTCTAAAATAACAGCTCAATACTGCTGTCTTTCATATGGTGAGAGTAGAGAATCGGAGACCCTTTTTATTGGAAACGAGGCATTCCATCTTAGCCCTCAGGGGTGATAACGCATCTGCATTTTGATTCTTAATCTAGGATGGATGTAGATGTCTATAGGCCACAGCATCCATTTACCATCAGGAGGATCGTTTATTGTATATATTGTCCTTTTTCATAGAATAAGAGTGTTCTATAAATAAAGGATTTGTCGCAAGTAAGGCCTATCCCAACGCCACTACTTCGCGGGCGGCTAGGCCCTCGATGAACTCCGCGCGCCGTCGTCTTCTTTGTGTGTGATCATATAAAATATTACTTATGTCTACACGACGGTTCCCAGCTATGCTAGGATCTGATAGGTTTCGCTTTAGTCAAGTTATTAACAAATTCTATATTTAAGGGCCAGAATCATTCACATACACGTAATAAGTTGTTTTGGTGTCAAAAGAGACAATTACAACATCTGTACTCCATATGTGGTGCAGTGGTCTCTTCTGCAGTTATTAATAAATTTTATATTTACACCGTAAAAAGTATATTCGGAGTGAATGTATAGGGGTGGGCGATACCAATCGTATATAGATACAATATCTATATATCGGACGATAGACTAAGTATTTCATACCGCTGTAATAGCAGTACAGCGTCACTTCACAAAACATCAAACGCAGTGATTTATGTATTCTTTGATAACATCTAACATCGAAATTTAAAATAAAACAATAATTTAATACATGTAAAATATGATACACTGATTCGAACTTCGAACGAACCATGAGATATTATAATTGAAGAAAACAGATATATCTACTACGATTGTTCATTGCAGGATATACTCGTTTCAGAATATCATAAATATTAACCAATACGCATGTAGTAACATACTGAGATCTATACATATAATAAATCTGTAGAAAAGTCGTGTCTGTAATTCTAATATATTCTTGACAAAACAAGTCCAGGGGAAGAAAGGGTTCTGAAGTCAAATAAGTGGTTTTTAGAATTTTTTTCTGTCTGTCTGTGTGTTTCGGATTCACGCAAAAACTACTAGACAGATTTACATGAAATTTTGTATGTAGGTAGTTAGAAACCTAGGGCAACTTATAGGTTACTTCTTTTCGCTAACGGAACTTCAAAAAAGAAGGTTAAGTTAATTTTTTTTGCTTTTTTTAGATGTTAATTGTCTATTATATTTTAGTTATAGGCGGAATGACGCGTGTTTTTCAAATACATACCATATTTATAAATAAAATTTAAAACATCAAATTATAACCTTGGTAAAATAATTTGAAACTACACAAAAAAGTAATAGAAAAAGTAGTATATTTTGCCTTCAGTTACTAATAAATTCAATAATATAAACAACTTACATTTGTGTGTTTAAATAATTAGATTTTTCAAATTATATAAAAATTCTAACGTTTAGTTTTTTTAGTATTTTTGTCATTTTATTTTAAAAGTGTAATAATTTCAATAGTTAATAGTGACGTCTATGAAAATTAAATAATTGATAAGGTTCTTATTTCAGTTACTAATATATATGTAACCTGATTAAAGCTGGTCTGTCTGCAATTATTGCAAAATTTTCATTATCATTATAGCTTTATTAAAGATATTTTTATATATGTCATGGTCAAATCGTAGAATTGTTCATATATCATAAAGTAGTCAATCATTTCGTTAAATGGTCGTTTCATGGTAATTTGATGATATTTAACACTGTTTGTTGACCATGTCATGATATAGCTTGACCAAATCAATGAATAGAAATCATTCAAAGATATTAATAACTAAACACAACATTGCTATTTCATGATATGGTCATAATATCACCATATCATGAAATCGATATCCTTAAAACGTTTCTCATCGCTAGCGTATTTTTTAACTGAAACAGAACTTTTTAACAGAATTGACATTATGCCTTATAGTATAGTTTTGGATTTCATTATTTCAACTCATAATAGCGCCATCTACTTACTTCTAAATAAACTAAAATGGTAAGTCACTGATAAAATTAAATAATATAATGCTACTGAATATACGATGTAAATAATTGAAAATTCGTTCGTGGAATCGTTGGATGTGTAATTACTAGTTTCATCTAGAAAAAAGTCCTGAGATAACACACGTAAAAAAATACAGTTTTTTGGGACACAATTGGGACCTCTTCCTTTTTTATAAGTCAATAAAAATCAAATTAAATATAAAGTTATTTGCAAATTGTCTGTGGACTAATTACCTCTGCATTGGCCGGGGAGTAAGAGTATTGTCACCCCACTTTACCAATACACGTGTCAATTATTTCAGATGTAAATAACATTTTTTCTCAAGACTGAATTTAGTAATTTACTTATTGTGCACACCGAAATACCTTTAATAACGACCAAATAATTTACTGTCATTCATGTCCCGCTTATATGTACATCTATACGTTATTAAAAGGATCACCGGGTTGTTTGTTATATACTGTATAGTTTCAATATTTGATATTTAAATGCAATACGATATTATACAGGATAAGAGTGGTATTACCCATGTATAGAACTTATCGGGCCACCTACAGGAAAGGTTATTATTATTTTAATTAAAACTAGCAATATTACATTGTAGATGTTTATTAGTCAATATCAAGTTTTTTGAAAGAGCCCTCGATGCCGCCAAAAAAATCGGCAATGTTCTTCGGTTTTTCCGGTCTCAGAGATTCTACCACTCTCTTCTTGCCCTCCGATATGAAGAAATCTTCGTTTGCTTTTAATAATGCAAGGATATCCTCTGTAAAATAAAGAAGTTAGCATAATTGATGTCGGTTACCGTCCAACATTTTATATTAAAATTAACAACAAATTATGATAAATAATATGTTGTTGTCACCCTTGAAAATCAAAATGTACGCCATCGATCAACGAGTCCATACTGTGGGAGGCCGTGTGAGAAAAGGCGGCCGAATAAATAAAAATATAGAGAAGCGGACCGAACCGGAGACTTTTTACTGAAAACTAGGCTCCATCTTAGGTCTCAGGGGTGACAACGCATCTACATCTACATTTTGATTGTTAATTAAGGATAGATGAAGGTCTATGGGTCACAGAATCCACTTATAATCAAGTTGACCGTGTGAAAAATATGATAACGTTTTTGCAAAGGCTATCCGTAATATTAGGTGTTCATTTAGGAAATTGACGTTTTTATGAAATTAGTAAACATAATGTTTTTCTATATTTTTATTTATATTAATCAAAGTAATCACCCATGCAATCGATGCATCTTTGCCAACGTAGTGGCAGTTTATTGATGATGGCCTTGAAGAAATTAGATGGGAGAGAGCCAACAAATTCTTCAAAGGCATTTTATATTACCTCTCGGGTATTGAAATTTTTTCCCACCAAAAAGTTATGCAAATTCTCGAAAAAAGTAGAAAGAAGTCTAAAGACGCAAGGTCTAGTGAGTACGGCGGATCACAGAGAGCTTCCCACCCCAGCTCGTAACTTGGAGATCGTTTGTTTTGCAGTATGAGGTCGCGCGTTGTCGTGCAGGAGCAGCGGAGACAAGCGATTGACCAAAGCTGGTTGTAACAGAAAAGCCGGTTATATATGATAACTTACAACAAGAATTTTACCTTTGGCTTTTGAAAACGTCTTGTACTGTCCTCCAGCTTCTTTCGGTAGACCTTCAATTGGCAGGTGCTCACCGATAGTCCGTGAGCCAGTCTTATGAATCATCAAACAATTTAAAAGTTCTTTTTTCAGGAATGGTTTAATTAACATAAGAAGTTTGTCCATAAACGGTGGCGCATTCAGAAAGTGTACCGCTTTTAGTTTCACAAACATCGCTTCCTAAAAACAAAATAAAGCTACATCTTATAAACGTTCCATAGCTGGGCACAGACTTCCTCTCATTTTTCACAGGTTTATAGAGAAATGAAGGCATCGGCGACTTTTTCTGCCACCAGGGCGAAGCCATCTCTTTACGTGGTAGAGCCATGCTACAGCTATCTTTAAGTTGTAGCACGAATGGGTCAGCTCGACCGGGAAAGGAAAGAACTTCGCACTCACAGAATCCCAGCGTCAAATAGCAGGGAAAGGAAAGGACTTCACCCTCACAGAATCCCAGCGTCAAATAGCAGCTCAATGCAGCTGTGCTTCGTATGGTGAGTGTATTGATCCGGAGAAGAGAGAACCGGAGACCTTTTATATTGGATACGAGGCATTCCATCTTAGTCCTCAGCGGTGTCACGTATCTGCATTTTGATTCGTGATTGAGAATAGATGTAGATGTCTAAGGGCCGCAGCATACAATTATCATCAGTTGGACTTTGTACTCGTTTTTTTGTCACCCTTATTCTATAAAAAAACAGCAACCTCCTCTCATGTCTGACAGGCTTATTAAGCAATGACGGCATCCACAACTTTTTTGTCACCAGGGCCACCAAATACGAATGAAGTGAAATATTTTATATTTTATTTCCCTGCTATGAAATGTTAGTTATATATGAATATATAATATATTATATGAATTAGATTGGAAATAGGTAAAGCAAACAACGGATATCCCTAAAGTAGAAGAATTAACAAATCGTGACTGATCTTAATACAGAATTGAAGCATTGTTTTGTGTATATATCATACACTAGTGAAAGAACGGTGAAATTTAAATTTATATGGGACCACATGAGAAATATCAGCTTTCAGAATCATCAAAATTGGCTCACCTAGAAAAAAGTTCGGATGTACACATAAAAAAATATACGAATTGATAATCTCCTCTTTTTTGAAGTCGCGTAAAATATAATTGATATATATATATATATATATATATATATATATATATATATTAACACAATGAGGTGCTCAAACTCAACACATGCCATTTCTACAGTTCTCTCAACAGAGGGGCTCACAATATCTTTACGTTCTTTACATGATAATAATTTACTAGCAAATATTAAGGAGCCGCCTCTTAAAACTGCTTCTCTATTGAAAGAACTGACCACCTGGTGATAACTGAAGTTAAACATAAAGTTATAAGGACTTAATAACTAATAGAACTATAAATAGGGATTATATCGTCAGCAAATCGAAGGTGAGTGATGTACTCGCCATTGACGTTAATACAGTGTCTTTTCCAGTCCAGTAGCTTCAAAACGTCTTCAAAAGCAGTGGTGAAGAGTTTCCGGAATATAACGTCACCCTGTCTTACACCTCTCTGCAGTTGGATAGTATTATTGTAATTTCAAAAAAGGAGGAGGTTCTCAATTATATATATATATATATATATATATATATATATATATAGGGTATTTTTGGAACGCTCCCGAAAACTAAGACAGGCGACAGCACCAAGTATACCTTTGATCATGGGTTACAAATAAAGTCGATCCTGATGAAAAAAAAATTATCTTTTAACAACGTTTTATTAGCTTTATTCACGCGCCATCATGTTAGTACAGCTAAATGAAACGATAATTTCATAAAAAATATCATGAAAATACTGAAACATAAAACCAGCAGTGGAAACTGAATTGATATCACCTGACTAATGGAGGTTAATGTACGCGCGAACGGTGAAAAACAAACGCTGGCCTTGAACTTGGGCACTGAGCGATTTATCACATATTGGTACGAAAGGCGCGCGACGGGGGAACAATCCGCCAGTATTAGTGTGCCTGCATGCTATTGGTTCCCGCGCTTTGTTCGCTCCAAAAATACAGTCGCATACACAGCTTACTTTGCGACTCGCGACGATGTTTTAAAAAGGAAGGAAAGAAAAATTATTTATATCTATTGTTTTATGACTAAACTAGTGATCGAAAAGGTAAATATGATAGGAGAAGGTGAATGGGGAAAATTGTGCAGTAAAGTTAAAAGTGTGGAGGAAGAATACCGAAAAAATTACCATGTGATCGACCTGATGACGGAAGCTCAAGCGAAGATGAAAGTGATGATGAAGTAGCATCCAGTAACACCAACACACCATTAACATCTGGCTTCCATGTGACCCAAGACGTCATAATGGACGGCGTGTAACCCTTAGCTAAAGTTTTCTTGTTACAAACTACTTTATATTTTACGATAGAAATAACAAATAATGCTCATGTAAACATTATCCATTTTTAATTCCCACCTCTTCCAAAGTTCTAAGTAGCTAGTAAAACACCTATTATGATTCTACATTAAAACAATTAATTACTATAATATTATAAAACAATAGCCCAATACCATGTAGTACTTTAGAACGCGACTGTACCCACACCCCCTCCGCTATCGACCTGTATCTAGCTCGGTACGAAACAATGCTGCGGTCGTAAGAAAAAAGGGCGCATCTAACAATTTATGAATAAATGAGTTAAATATACCATTCGATTCATGATAAGAAGGCGATCTACTAATTTTTTTTAATATTCACAAATATCAATATTTTAGAAATTATCGTAAGAATTTTAGACGTAACTGTTGATCACAGATGACTTTTTTTAGTAGAAAAGACTTATACAAATTCAACATAAAAGAAAAGACTTATTTAACCAGTTGCTACGTCATCTTTAACAATATTTGCATCGATTACTTAAATTTCAATTATTCTTGGTCTTGTCTTATTATTCTATATCTTATTATTAAGAGCTTATATCTTATTGTTAAGAGCTGGCGTTTCACATGTGGTCCCATATAAATTTGATCGAGGTCAGACCAATAGTTTTTGAGTTATCCTTAATTATTTATATTAAAGTCGGTTGTACAAAATTTTTAATTTTTAATTATTATCGTAGTAAGTCTTGTATGATATCCCCTTTAAAATCATTACTCAAGAGTTGCGGGTTGTTATTTTTTGTGTCTCACTACCAATGCTTTTCTAATATTTATTAAAAAAAAAAGTAGTAAATTACTATTAGCGTCCTTTCAACTTCAAATGACCTTTCCAAAATATGTAAAATTGTTAAATGAATGGCAGTTTTTTTTTTAAATTTATTAGGTTGGAAAGACGCAAATAGTTATATGCGTCTTTCCTTCGATGTTTTTGTGTTGCCAGGTGTATTTTTGAAGCTAAGATGAAAAGGAAATTTCGTTTTATTTAAATAAATAAACAAATTATCAAAAAATTTGTTCGTCCTTAAAATCTTCATGTCTCTACGTATATATTTCAATTTTCATATAGATACCTTTTAATATACTTTAGACACAGGGTCTGAAAGAAAAATTCATCAATTTATTTTTTATTTCCATTTTACGTTTTTGTTAGTTGCGTCCTTCTTTATGTAACCCGACGACGGCAGAATGTAACCCGGCCGGCTCGTGTCGCCTCACGCTGTGACGCAGTAGACAAAGAGTATAATAACTGTCCTAGCAGTAGGTTTCAGTTTTGTTGGGGTTCGTTATTAATTGTAGTTTTTGAAACAGTTCCGTGTTGATTTTATACACGCGTGCGCGAGCGACAGCTCAATCGTATTGTTATTACTTGTGATTACGTGTTGGTATTATTCTCGTTGTTACGTTTTTTGTTTTAATAATGCTTAACGCGTACTTTTATAGTGATTGTGAATACAGCAACATGTTATCCGAATCCAGGTACACGAAGTATCGCCAAATAAATTGTTAAGACGTCGGGATGGAACAAGTGTGACATACTGTGCAGTGCACAAAGTGTTGAAGCGTAACCGAATGCGGCTATACAAATTGCATAAAATGCAAGCTTTAGTTCCCGGCGATCACGACCGCCGACGAGTTTTCTGCCGTTGGTTATTATACCAGCGACAACGTGTACCTGGTTCCATTGAGCACATTATCTGGACGGATGAGTCGACATTTACCAGAAACGGCCTGTGGAACCGAAGAAATACACACGTGTATTCAGAGGTTAACCCGCACGCTGTTCGACAAACCGGGCACCAAACCCGATGGTCGGTTAACGTATGGGCAGGTTTATTTAAGGATCGCATACTGGGACCAGTGTTTCTGCCACAGCGACTGAACAGACAGCGATACCATGTCGTGAGGTTAGTCCGTGAGCGCCTCAATGAGCTATTTGATGATCGCTGGATCGGCAGACTAGGATCATACGCTTGGCCACCTCGCTCACCAGATCTGACCCCGTTAGACTTCTTTTTGGTATGTGAAAGAAAGGGTTTTTAATCGTGAGTGTGATAGTGCTGACAAAATGCGCCAAAGGATCGTGGATGCTTTCGAGAAACTATGTACGGACTGTGTCGAAGACCACACAATGATGCCCCGCCTGCACCCAAATCTACCTTGAAATGAATGGAGCACAATTTGAGCTGCATCTCATAAGACCACGGAGGATTTAGAGCGGTAAGCTGTTTCATAACTATTTTTTTTAAATAACTTAGTACTGAACTAATCTGAATAGGTACATAACTGAATACATGAGAATAATAAACATACCTACACGATAAATAAAAACGCATGACTCCAACCTTGGTTACATTTCATTTAAGTATTTTTTCATTAGCGTATGTAGTGGTATGGCCCACTAGTTGCGGGCCGCGCGAATTTGCGTTCGCGAGTACATTGACCTTTAGTCAGGTGATACAATTCAGTCATTCCACTGCTGGTTTTATGTTTCAGTGTTTTCATGATATTTTTTATGAAATTATCGTTTCATTTAGCTGTACTAACATGATGGCGCGTGAATAAAGCTAATAAAACGTTGTTAAAAGATGATTTTTTTTCATCAGGATCGAATTTATTTGTGACCCATGATCAAAGGTATACTTGGTGCTGTCGCCTGTCTTAGTTTTCGGGAGCGTTCCAAAAATACCCTGTATATATATATTATATATTTATATTTTCAATGATGATTACACTGTGTGACTATCCGCGTAACATGTAAGTTCATTAATAGTATCAGGTGTTACTTTGCGGAAATCCATTATTAAAGATTTCAAAAATTTACTTGCTAAGATCTGCGTAATAAAATAAAATGATTTGTCTCACCTAGTTTGAAGAGTTACCCCTCCCCCCACCTTCCCTCAAGTAATTATATTATATTATTAATGTAAGTTTTATAATATTTTATATATTTACGCGAACACTACACATTTAACTAAAACTAGTTTAACGGATTTTATCGCGTACATTCAATTATTTTATACTTTTTTTTTATAGAATAAGGGTGACAAACGAGCACACAGTCCACCTGATGGTAAGTGGTTACTGTGGCCCATAGACATCTACATTTATCTTCGATTATGGATCAAAATGCAGATGCGTTGTCACCCGTAAGGACTAAGATGGAATGCCTCGTTTCCAGTAAAAAGGGTCGCCGGTTCTCTACACTCACCATACGAAACACAACAGCGTCAAGCTGCTATTTTACGCTGGTATTCTGTGAGAGCGTGGTCCTTCCCCGGTCGAGCCGACCCATTCGTGCTACAACTATAATATAGCTGCAGCATGGCTCTACCACGTATAAATATACCACGTACCGTATACCACGTATTCCCTACGTTTCCAGCACTTTACAACATCCATGGTCACGGGGGGAAGGGGGGGGGGACTGAGGTGTTTGACGTCCCATTGTGATAGTTAACCACGGCTACCTCCAGAGTAAAATTATTAGTTTTAGTTCTGATCTACGCAGTGTGAACTTACAGTATCTAAGTATCAGTAACAGTCTTGCAGTTGTGTGCTAGGGTTGGGATTTAATTTTATTAATTATGGTATCCCAAGCAGACGGCTGCACCCAGCAATCTTCTCTTTTGAAATTAGCATGTTTTTTTTTAATTTCAATTTGATTTCATTACGAGTATATTCTCTCTCGAATCATCCTTGGAAGGAATCGGCGTTCTTAAGCGAGGATTTGTGGTCTATCAAATCTAAAGTAGTTACGGTGGCGATCCTGTACGTGTTCACAGACTGCAGACTTCCCGGAGCGTCGATTCTTTACATCAGCTATGTGTTATTTAACGCGGGTTTTTATTAATCTTTTAGTTTGTCCTATATAGTAATAAAGAATCCTGATAACACGTTGAGCCGCAATGTGTATAGAAAAAGACCCATACAGATAGACATTTAAACGGTGATTCTCATCACCATCCTTCACAGTTAGCTACCGTGGGTAAATCTTTGTTTCAGATAGCAAGAGGGATCTGGCTATGTCGGTTACTCTGGTTCTACTGCGGATATCCTCGTTTTTAAGTCTATCACGCAGAGAAACGTCGAGCATTGCCCTTTCCATAGCTCACTGAACGACTTTGAGCTTCCATACGGCCAGCAGTGAAGGACCACGTCTCAGATCCGTAGGTCATCACTGGCAACACGCACTGGTAGAACTAGTTTTGAGGTTCTGAGGTATGTCTAACGAGAAGATATATCGTAATCTCCCGAACGCTGCCCAGCCGAGTAGAATCCGTTGATTGACCTCTCGGTCGAAGTTGGACTTACCTAGTCGGACTATTTGTCTAAGGTAAACATATTCGTAAACAAATTCGAGCTTAGTGCTCCCAACAACTACCGGCATAGGTGTGACATGGACGTTAAATATGATTTTTGTTTTGTCCATGTTCATCTTAAGACCTATCCGTTGGGAGACACTATTGAGGTCATTGAGCATAGTGCTTAGGTCCTCCAGGGAATATGCCATAAGCCATAACTATATCGTCGGTAAATCGAAGGTGAGTGATGTACTCGCCATTGATGTTGATACCGTATCCTTTCCAGTCCAGTAGCTTGAAAACGTCTTCCAATGCAGTGGTGAAGAGTTTCGGGGTTATTACGTCACCCTGTCTTACACCTCTATGCAGTTGGATAGGTTTCGTACTCTGGTTCTGTACTCGGATAACCATCGAAACCCTACTGTACTAATACTTCAGGACATCGATATACCGACAGTCCACTTGGCATCGCTGGAGAGACTGCAGCACCGCCCAAATTTCGACGGAATCAAAGGCTTTCTCATAGTCCATATACGCAAGACAAAGTGGCAGATTGTACTCTTCGGTCTTCTGTACAATTTGCCGAAGGGTATTTATGTGGTCTATGGTGCTAAATCCTTTTCGGAATCCGGCTTGTTCCAGAGGTTGGAAGTCGTCGAGTCTGCATGAGAGACGATTCCTAATGACTCTAGAAAACAGCACGTAGACGCGGCTCAGAAAGGAAATCGGGCTGTAGTTCTTCAAGAGAGCGTTGTCGCATTTTTTGAAGAACAAGAACACCACACTTTTGTTCCACGCCTCCGGTGTAGTGCCATCATGGAGGACAAAATTAAAGAGCTTCTGAAGGATTTTAAGTATCAGTTTTCCACCCGCTTTCAAAAGCTCCGCTGTAATTCCATCCTCGCCTGGGGCCTTGCCGTTTTTAAGGTGCTGGAGAACCATTCTAATCTCGCCAGACTTACGTCCGGGATATTATTGGAATAGTCTCTGCAGCAGCTTTCAGCTTCATCTCCCGTCTAACAGCCATGAGATTAAGAGTGTGATCGGAGAGTTTTTGTGTTCTTCTGCGGCGGGTCTTACAAAACTTATCTCCGACCCCTGGACAGTTTCCACGAGCTTCTCATTTATATTGTCCACTGCTTTAGTGAGGAGCCAATTAGAGTTCAACGCAGTCATCTGGTCTCCACATGAAACTAAATATAGTATCATGTTGGAGAGAGTGCAGAATATATTTATTAGACATTTATATAAAAATGTATGGAGTACATCCATTTTACTCAAATAAGTATCCTACCTTATTCACCTTAGGTATGGTAGGATACTACGAGCTAAAAGCTAGAAGGAATTTAGCGCTAGTCTTATATATCTTTAAGGTGATGAGGGAAAAAATTCACAATCCAGACGTATTGCAAGAAGTGCGCATGTATGTTCCGGACAGATACGTATGGCGGCGGCGGAGGCCGCGGCTGCTGGCTGTGCCGCGCGGTCGCACTAAGTTGGTGAATGAGGCGCCGTTTACGCGCGCACTCCATATCCTCAACCGTATAGCAGAAGACATTGATATATTTTGTTGTACTCTGGATGGATTCATAGCGAGAGCTCTCTTTGAAATAAGTTATGGTCCTACTGTGACATAAATATGGTGTTTGTTATAGAAATAAGTACATAATATGATCAATATAATAGTTGTGTAATTGTAATTGTAAAATTATTTGTCTAAAAATACTTGTAATGATAATCGTATAGTTGGAAATAAATAAATAAATAAATTGCAATCTTCTAGGCACTGAAAACGATTTTGTAACTCGAGCTGAAATGTTTCGGGATTTTGGATTCGAATACGAGAGGGACGGAGCATTCACTTCATTAGATGTGATCTCACAAACTTAACGTTTAGGTTCAGTGTGCCTCTAACCATTCGGTGATCGCTACTAGTTTTCACCCTCGCGATTTCGACATTTTTTGTCGAACCGTCTGGGCTCGACCAGGTCCACTTCCTGTGGGGCCGCTTCTGGATGAAAGAGTCCCTCTTTCTTCTTGATGTCGGCCAGCTGCTGGCCCCTTGGGTTCAGATTTTTTCAGAAGATTGTTCAGGGTTGGGACAGATGGTCGCTTTCCCGGTGATAGAACAAGTTGCCGGATTCGAGGATTACCGTGTCCTCCCCATCTCTTCCGATTTCGGATAATCCTATAATATTCCAGCGCAACTTATCTATCTCTTCTTCCAGCTCCAGGATCTTCTCGTCAGTCCTCAGGATGCGGCGTTATAAACGGTTAAGTTGTCGTAGTTGGCAACCAAACCTCCACCGGAGATTCTTAGCACTCCCTGCCCCGCCGTTACCATGGTCGCCACCGTGACCACGAATAGCGGGGCCGCCGGGGACTGGGGGCCGTTTATTAATGTCATTGCTCATAGGGGGTATATTGCCACAGTTGCCACGCTTGGCGAGCGGGTTGGCAACTGAAGTTTTTTATTGCTCTTTGCTGTTATCAAAAAGATGCTGCAGCCCATCTTCTGCCTCAGTTTACCTCTGTCGCCATTTACAACATCCCACCTTTTAAACACGATTAGCAATAATTCACTATTTAAATTAGGTAAATGATGAATAATACCATTTTGAAATCGGATTTAAGCACATATAATTTTAAAATTATTTGTCACTTCTGTTGCAATACGTTTTTTTATGCTACGGTTGCTTAAACTTTGTCAAAATGAATATTTTTCACTAATATTTCTCTAGAAAAATAATTAAAGTTTTTTTTTGAAATAGAAGTATTATAGCAGTTATTCTATTTATTGCTTATCTTATCTATCAGCTCAGTTAACATAAATTACTATAACAATAAAAAACCGATGGATTTCATTAATTTGTGGTCGTGGTGTACAAGAATGTATAATAAGGTAACAAAAAATATGGATATAATTAAAAAAACATATATTTGGATATTCTTGGTTATTTTATTTTTATTTTTTTTCCGAATGGCCATTAGTTCTACCAAGACCCATTTCAAGGTTATCCATTAATTACCGGACACCCGATATATGTATATACAGTTTTTAGTGATATCTGTAATTTTATACTCAATCAATAAATACATTACTGCTTTCGCCTATACGTAAAAGTATAATTTTGGCTAGTTTAGAATTAAGTAACACCACTGTATCATAAATTCATTAATAAATAAATAAAAAAAAGGTATAGAACAAACTACCTGTAAGTAATATATGAACTGTTGCACGTGTGTGATATCCAGTTTGCCTAAATGCGAGAGCGTCACGCCTTCCAGGTCTACGACAATGACGAAACCGGGCCAAGTGCCCGTTTTGCTTTGCCATATGTCAAGGAGCATCAACGCCACCCTGTACAAGATAATTGTTTATATAAGAAATATCGTCGTTACCGTTACAACCTTTTAAATTCCACTGCTGAACATAATGTCTTATTTTTATTATTTTATTTTCATAAGCACATTTACAATGTACATATTAAACATTAACACTAGATTATATAACAAGTAACACGCTCACTGATATGTATATCAATAACAAGTGTACATAACATTTACCAACAAAAATACATGTAAACATTGGGAATGAACAAAAAAGGAAAAAAGAAAACACACTTGATATTGTACATCCATATATACAAATACATATACATATAAACACACACACATATATATATATACATATATATATACATATATATATACATATATATATACATATACATACATATATACATACATATACATACATAAATTCTTCAATTCAGTCTTCCCCATAAATTGCCTCATAGGGGGGAAATTTGCGGGTTGGCAACCGCAGTTTATTTTTATTTTTAGTCTATTAGGAAGACGCAGCAGGATCCATCCCCTGATTTGTTTCCCTCTGTCGCCTCTTACGGCATCCACGGGAAGGTATGGGGTATTAGATTTATAAGAAATGTAGTTTAATTTAAAGTATATTTCACTAGGTGATAGGATTATTTTTATGATTAGGAGTACGTGCAGTGCGTGCAACTATATTTTCTAGTGTGAGGGGTATGCGAGTCAGTATAAAAAATTGGTAAATCCAATTGGGCATACCTTAAGCGCATTAAAAAAATTACGTATAACATGATTATACGGAATTTTTAAAATAGTTTAAATACATTTCGACAGCACTATCGGCTTCAACACCCTCGAAAATCGTGAAAATGACACCCGTGATGAACAAATTGATACCTATTGCAGCCGCCATCTTGGATTTACATTTTGACAGCACTATCGGCTTCAAAACCCTCGAAAACCATGAAAATGACACTACACTTTGTAACAATGTGCTTTTTAAATCATTTATATGTATAATATGATTGCTAGATACGATTTTATTCGATAAAACGTTGGAATCTTAATTTTTAGGCGATAGTAGAACATACCTTGCGCTTTCGCTTAAGGTATGCAATACACATATAGCTATAATTACATTTTATACGTGGTAGAGCCACGTTATAGCTTGACCGGGAGAGGACCACGCTCTCAGATCAGCTGTGCAAAATAGCAGCTTAATGTAGAGGCACCCGTAGACGCGGGGATGGTGTCGCTGTCTACGCGCAGCCATAGATTTGACAGGTCCGTACCTTCAAGACTGACGAGGCGTCAAAAACAGAAGTCCTCTCTGACGTACACGCAAACTCCAGCCCGAGGCAAAAAGGAGTGTTCTAATTTATACCCCGGGTAGGAGAGATACGAAGTATCAGCTGGTAAGGACAGCTGTGTCTCGGGTAACAAGAGCAAGGCCGGCTTTGCCGTCTCCAGATGGTAGTGGACAGTGTTAAGGTTTGAATGAAGTCCCCTGATATTGCAGGAATTCACATAAAGCGTGGATGGGGTTGCTTTTGTCTTATTGCTCCGCTTGCCCCTTGGTTTCGTTTTGAGTGGAATTTTCTCCAAAATTTTATTGAACCATCCTTGAAGAATAGCCTATTCAATAAAAAAGAATCATCGAAATTTGTTCACAATTTTCGCAGATTATGAACCATATATCGATATCGCGTACAAAAAACATATACTCGAATTGAGAACCTCCTCGTTTTTGAAGTGAGTTAATCAGCTTTATGTAAAATCACATTGTGCACGTTCCTATAGTTATTAGATATTGTTTATAGAATAGCGGTTGCTAACAGATGGTAAATAGATGCTGTGGCCCATAGACATCCTCATATATTATCATTATAATGCAGATGCGTTGTCACCCCTGAGGACTAAGATGGATTGCCTCATTTCAGTAAACACAGCAGCATTAAGCTGCAATTCGACGCTGGTAATATATGAGAGCGTAGTCTCTCCCCGGTCGAGCACGGATGGATCGGCTACACTGCATGGCTCTACCACGTTAAAACGAAACTGCCCAGTAGATGAGCATTACACCCTACCAAAATTCACTGCTGAACACAGGCCTTCCCTGCACTGCACACTGATGAACATAGGATATTTGTCATCGTCGCTATGCTTGACAGGCGCGTTGACGTCACAGTTTTTTTATAGGATAGGGTGACAAACGAGCACACCGTCCACTTGATGGTAAAAGGTTGGTGTGACCCATAGACATCTACATCTATCTTCGATTGCGAATCAAAATGCAGATGCGTTGTCTCCCGTGAGGACTAAGATGGAATGCCTCATTTCCAGTAAAAAGGGTCTCCGGTTCTCTATACTAACCATGCGAAACACAGCAGTCTAAAGCTGCTATTTTACGCTGGTATTTTGTAAGAGAGTGGTCCTTCCCCGGCCGAGCCGACCCATTCGTGCTACAACTATACTACTAATATAGCTGCAGCATGGCTCTACCACGTTTTTTTTTTAATTTTGATTTGTTATTAGGAAGGTGCTTCTGTACATTCTTTGATTCAGTTTCTCTCTATCGTCACTCTGGGCAAGCACAGGATGGTATGAGGTAGAGGAATCTCTATCGCCGGCACTACACAGCGAGTCCTTCTATATTTTACCTTACACAATCTTCTAAGACGAATTTCCTCGTATCGCAATCAATGAGGCGATGGTAGGAGACGGCTGAATGGTCATACGAACGTATCTCCAAAGGCGTCGTTAATCTGAAATTAAAATTATTATTGATCATTTGGGCTTTTTTTAAATACTAGCAATGCTATTAAAATTACTAATATTCCCTTTAACCACTCCTAGCACGCTTAAAAGTGCTTGTGTTTGAAGTGGTTCACGACAGAAGTCGAATGGCGGATTCGAACCCACGACCACTTGAGTTCGCAGTTCCCAGGGAGCCATTAGGCTACTGACGAACTCCAATACCACAGGCGTTATTCTACCAGAACTTTCTATTATGTCTTGAAAGCATTTTAAATAAATAAATTGCACATTACAAACATCCAGTCCGGGTACTAATATTTGTAGGCTTTACTTGTTCCTTGCGGGAATCAAAAAAAAATTTAATTAGGTCACATTAATTTTTTTTTTGTTTTTGCTATTTATTATGTACGTATTTTTTTTGTAATTTTAATTCGTAATGTCATACTTAATGTTTATAAAATTCAATAATTTTGTACACCAGAAATGGTTAATGTGTTGTACTATATTTTCTATAACAACTGTAAAACACACACATTATGCAAAATAAATAAATAAATCGAATCCGCGGACCGTAGCGGTGTGACTGCCACACCGAGTTATTAAATTGCTTACATTGAGAATTTTAATGATAACAAATCGAGAGGGACACTAAGCTAATGGTTAAGGGTACAGATAACGGTGAATCTAAGTCGTGGAGTCGAATCCGCCTTAGAATATTATCGGTAACCTTTTTCAGGATACCGAAACATTAGCAATGTTAATAGCTATAAAACTAATTTTTCGGATTTTACCGCGCTTAATTTTAACTGTTTTAATTCCCGAGTTAACGAAGGCTAATGTCAAGTTTTAAGTATTAATTTTTGGTCTGAATAACGCAGAATGAGCTTACAGTATCTCAAAGTCTTGCAGTAGTATGCTATGGATTTAATTTTATTAATTATCGGATCCATCTCCTTTATTGTAATTGGAATATTTTTTTAAATTGATTTGATAAGAAAAAGTGGCAACTGTCTGTCAATAATATTTTAAGTGCTTCACTTTTGTTTTGTAAATAAAATACTAATATAAATATAAAATATTAATGTCTAGTCCTCATACGTTTTGTGCTTTCCCATGGTATAATAATTTTTAATTATTTTAATTAAGAGATATCAATTAAAACTTGACCCAGCAAATAACCATTGACTACAACACAAGGACACAAGCAACAATAAAACCTAAATAGGTGTCTGGGCTCAGTGAACTCGAATAGAAGCGTAGAAATTGGTTATACCAAAGAAATTACATGACTCTATAGACGATAATACTACTATACCAGAATTGGATGATTGGGAAGAAATCTTAGAACAGGAAATACCAATACCCCCTAATGATGAGCAGAAAGATACTAAAACACTTTAGCTGAAGTGGGTCTAGGTATCAGTGGCTCAACTGAAGGCATAGAAGAAGTATTTGAAGTGCGTATACATTCTTCATGTATCATATGTTCCTCGAGTTGAGTCAGATACTGTTGACTGATACTGTATGGACTGTGGACCCACTGCTGTCAACTTTCTGAAGAAAATAATGACACTTATATAGAAATATTTTGGCCAATTTGGCCTTCCCTTCCAAGTGACCACGAAACTGCACACTATTCGATATGTCGACGCCAAGGATTCCGATGCTAGCTGAGGAAGCAAGAGGAGTGCCTTGAAACTGAGGAGATACGACAAAGGGATTCCTTTTAGCGGCAAACGCGCAAACTTGTATCTTCTGTGGATTGAACTGGACTAGATTTAGTCACCCCTAATCCGAGACTTTGTTAAGCAAAGACTCGACTTCAGACACTAGTTAGTCCCGGTACTCGGCGACGTTTTCCCGAGAAATATTGGCACGACCGGTATATAAGGCATCACCAGTGCTGTCGTCCGCATAGCAATGAATACTACCAGGTTGCAACATATCATTGATATGCAGGAGAAACAGCGTTGGTTATAGCACGCAGCCTTGTGGAACACCAGCGTTGATAGGCTTGAAATCAGAGCATGCACCGTCTACTACGACTTTGATGCTTCGATCAGCAAGGAAACTGGTGATCCATTTGCACAATTTCTCGGGAAGCCCATAGGAAGGAAGCTTCGAAAGAAGCACTTTGTGCCAGACCCGATCGAAGGCCTTCGCTATGTCCAAACTAACGGCCAATGCCTCCCCCTTGGACTCTTCTGCCTCCGCCCATCTATGAGTCAGATAGACCAAGAGATCACCAGCGGATCGACCCCGACGAAAACCGTACTGGCGGTCACTAATCAGCTGGTGATCCTCAAGGTACCTCTTGAGCTGGCAGTTTATAATGGATTCCATTATTTTGGAGAACAAGGAGGTGATGGCGATAGGCCTGTAGTTGGACGGGTCTGAGCGGTCGCCTTTTTTAGGGATCGGGTGGACCAAAGCTGTCTTCCATGAATTCGGGACTACGCCTTGGGAGTAGGAGTACCGGAAAAGACGCGTTAAAACCGGTGCCAACTCCGGAGCACACGTCTTCAGCACAATGGGAGGGACTCCATCGGGTCCACTCGACTTGCTGACATCCAGGGAGAAGAGTGCTTTGCGAACCGAGTGCTGTGTAAACCGCACATCCGGCATGGCGCACTCACATCGCGGGATGGTCGGCGGTGTGTTCCGCTCGTCGTCTAGAGTCGAGTTGGACGCAAAGAGAGAGCTCAACAGATCGGCTTTCTTCTTTGCGGCATGGGCCAGTGAGTCGTCCTCTCTGTGCAGAGATGGAAGAGATGGCTGACAGAAGTTCCCTTGGACAGCCTTGGCGAGAGACCAGAATGCACGGGTTCCCGAAGGAAGGCGAACTAGCTTCTCGCCAATTCTGCCGATGTGGTCAGACCTTGCCTGGGCAATGACGCTTTTGGCAATGACCTGGATGCGGAATTATACTTCTTTTTAAATGCGCTGGTGTTTACATCCCCAGACAGTGATGCGTCAGCCCAGGCCTGGTAGCACTCCTGCTTATAGCGTGATGCTATTTTACAGGAGCGACCAAACCATGGCTGGGATCTGCCTCCGATGGGCACCACAGAGAATGGAATCACGATCTCTGCGGATGGGACCTGTTGTAGCACGGAGTCTGCAGCCATTTGGACGTGGTCGATGAGTCAGTCTGTGTCGGCATTTCCGCTATGGGACTTATAGAGGCACGCGTAGACGCGGGAATGGTCGTCGCTGTCTACGCGCAGCCATAGGATGGACAGGTCCGTACCTTCAAGACTGCCGAGGTTTCGAAAACAGATGTCCTCTCTGACGTATACACAAACTCCAACCCGGGGCACAAAGGAGTGTTCTAATTTGTACCCCGGGTAGGAGAGATATGAGGTATCAACCGGAGAAGATACCCGAGTCTCGGTTGGAATGAAGTCCCCTGATGTTGCAGAAATCCACGGATAGCTGTTTGTTGAAAGATGTTTTCTTCCTCGCACGACCTCCTTGTGGAATCGATTACCATCAGCGATTTTTCCGGACCGATACGACTTAGGGACCTTCAAGAAAAGAGCGTACTCCTTTTTAAAAGGCCGGCAACGCATCTGCGATTCCCCTGGTGTTGCAGTTGTTCATGGGCGGCGGTAGTCACTTACCATCAGGTGAGCCGCATGCTCGTTTGCCCCCTCTCCTATAAAAAAAAAAAATAGCGTGACAGGGGTTGCCTTAGTTTTATTGCTCCGCTTGCCCGAGCAGCATTAGTCGCGAGCGGAATTTTGCCCCCCCCCCCCCCCAGAATACGCGGAGCAGCCTGAACACCCACGCTTAGGAGTGGAGTAGTTTGGTCGTGGATGCTCAGCGAGGGATTCTCCAGGGGTGCTGGTACCCTCCTGGGGTACTCTTTTATTTAATTCCACTACCATGTTGAGGGGGGGGGGGGAATCGGGCCTCCGGCCACCTGCACTTTTTATAGCACCGATAAAGGAAAAATTTGCTAAAAGCATAAATTTTTAGTTACATCATATACCAAAAATATTTTTAATAATTTTAAACTATATACCCACGGATTTGTTCGAAACCCTCGGTGCGCGAGTCCGACTCGCACTTGGCCGGTTTTTTTAATAGAATAACGGTGCTATGCACTCAGTCCGCCTGAAAGTTGCCCTACACTTCGCATACCGGTACGAGGCTGTCACCCGAGAATCTTTCTTTTCCATCGGTTGTCGGTTCTTCTAGCTATATGGCCGGCCCATGCACACATGCACTTCAGCTTACTAATCTGTTGGGATTTGTAGGTTATTATCGTTCTACTGCGAATAAATTAATTTTTAAGTCTATCACGTAGATAAATCAAAAGTATAGCCTTCTCCATAGCTTCCTAAGCGACTTTGAGTTTGCTTATATGGCCAACTGTGAAGGATCACGTCTCAGATCCGTAAGTCATCACTGAGATATGTCTGTAAGATTCTAGCACTCAATAATGATCAATGAGCTTGACTTACACTACGTCCAAGGCGTTCAGGGTCCGAGCATCCAAACACCTGTTTTTGAATACGTTCGTGAATAGCGTACGCAACGTATAATTGAGATCAAGTACTTGTTTAGCGACCTCCGAGCTCTGGTTGCAAGAGTGATACACAAGGATGAGGTCGAGATCTGGAAGAGATTTTAAAAATTTGTGATTTAAGAAATGGCTCCAAAGCAAAGTGGCTGAGCGTTTCGTCGCGGCGCTGCAGGACCGCGGGTTTGAATCCCACAGAGCATAAGTGTTTTTTTTTATATAGAAAAAGGTGACAAACGAACACACACTCCACCTGATGGTAAGTGGATACTGTGTACCTATAAACATCCACGACTATCTTCGGTAAATAATCAAAATGCAGATGCGTTGTCACCCCTGAGGACTAAGATGGAGTGCTTCATTTCCAGTAAAAAGGTCTCCGGATATCTACACTCACCATAAGAAAAACAGCAGTATTAAGCTGCTATTATACGATGGTGTTCTACTGGTCCTTCCCTGGTCGAGCATAACCATTCGTGCAACAAACACAATATAGTCGCAGCATGGCTATAATACATGGCTCTAAGTTATTGTATCGCCTACGTTCCGGGTCTGGCTGAGTGTCCTGGTGCGATTTATTTTTGTCAACCGCCTTCACGATATAGATAATCCTACTGCGGAGTCAATTAAAAAAAAACAAGTCTAACTGTTAAAAAATGTTTAAAAAACGTGTGTGTGTGTGTGTGTGTGTGTGTGTGTGTGTGTGTGTGTGTGTGTGTGTGTTGGTGTGTAAAATAAATGAAATAACTACTTTAAATATAGTTATTAGTTCCCACGAAATCTTGAGAGACAATGAAGCTGTCGCTTTGAGGTGTCAGTGTGCGCTCGAATCGTAACAACTTCATGGTGTTGTTTTTAGCTGTCTCCCGCGGTTTTCCCAAACGCCCCAAAAGAAGTATAACTTCAAAAGATCCGACCGCGTAAAAGGATGTTCTTATAAAAGAAAATTTTAATTTTTAAATTGTCACTTTTACAATTAAGACGAATCTAAAGACATCCCTTAAGTTAAAATATATTATTAAGCTGTTTTTGCTGCAGAGCATGCCAAAGAAATAGACATAAAATCATACTGTGCGAAGGTGGTCCTTCGTGGAACCGACCCATTCGTTTCTCGTCGTCGTTCGTTTCGTAAATGGTTATAGCTCTACTACATAATTAATTTAAAATTAAAAGTTTTATACAACCGACTTCAATATATATATTCTTAAGGATAACTATATATGCTATATTAGTGATATAGTTGTAGCACGAATGGGTCGGCTCGGCCGGGGAAGGACCACGCTGTCAAAGAATACCAGCGTAAAATAACAGTTTAATGCTGCTGTGTTTCGTATGGTGAGTGTAGAGAACCGGAGACTCTTTTTACATCCATTCCATTCCATCTTAGTCCTCACGGAGGACGACGCATCTGCAATTTGATTCGTAATCGAGGATAGATATAGATGTCTATGGGCCACAGTAACTACTTACCATCAGGTGCTCGTTTTTCACCCTTATCCTATAAAAAAAAAACTATTGGTTAGACCTCGATAAAATTTATATGGAAACACATGGGAAGTACCAGCTTTCAAATAAAAAAAAATCATTGAAATCGGTTCACGTAGGACAAAGTTATGAGGTAACACACAAAAAAACATACAGTCGAATTGAGCACCTCCTCTTTTTTGAAGTCGGTAGAAAAACAACATTACAATTATTCGAATAAATACAAAGGCGTGAATTTAAAATTAAAATGTTGTAGATATTATAATTAAGTTATATTATTACTAAATTATTCATATCACGTAACTTTTTTTAAAAAAATTACAAAATTTGACATCCGCATAGTTTAAAACTTTATTAAAAAAAAGTTTGTATGGGTTAGTAGTAAGGAATTTATAAATGATATTAATCGCTGGGAATGAGGTAATTGCGGCCAAGCTATATCTTCTTTGTTTTGTTTTGTTAGTTGTGTAACATACGAGTATATGATTGGAAACTGTTCTGTTTTCAAAAATAAGTCCCATTGGGCTACTTGCTAATTTTTCCGAGTAAATTAAACACAAGAGTGAATTCAATAAGTATTATTTAATCTTCAAGTTTCAAGTTTTAAGTCACATAAAAAAAAACAATTACAGTTTTTTTATTTGATTTAATAACTAGTATTTTTTTCAGATTAATTTACATATTTAGTTAATAAACCGCTTTTTTGCGTTATTTTTAACTAAGGTTTGTTTTTAGTTGCTCATGAGTGGATATTTACTTCAGTAATTATAGCTCAGGGCAGCCTCCATCAGACGATGTGGTGACCTGTTAAGACATGTAGGAAGTCGATGGATGCAGATGGAAGACAGGTATTCCCCAAAAGGAATAAATCGTTAATAGTACAGATATCACACACATAAATTACATACAAACATAATACATACATAAACACTCACGCCATTTCACACAGAGGGGTAGGCAGAGACTACGCACTTCCATTTGGCACGATCCTGACACATCTCTCTCGCCTCTTTTATATCCATATATCTACGCATACATGCTCGTTAATTACGGGTACTCTTAATTTGACTCATTTTCAATATATTGTCAATTTCGTTGATAAATAAATTTTCGCCTAAGGTGTATCTTCCGACTCTGTTGTTTACTTTTGCCGCATAGATTTGCTTTTTCACTTTTTCCTCGTTCATTCTTTCTACATGACCAAACCAACGAAGCATTCCTTACATCTGGCTCAGAACTTCATCTTGCAAACCACACTTTTCCTTTATCACACAATTTCTCACCCTGTCATTCATATTCTGCCCTAACATACTGCTTAATGACCGTTTTTCTTCAGCATTTAATCTACTCCCGTGCTTCTTCTGCTACACCCAACTTTCACTACCATACATTTAAGTAGGGCCTAACACAGCATTGTGAATTGCCATGCGTGTCTTTTTTGACACATTCTGACTTTCCATAATAGAGTGGAGAGCTCCATTTACTCTATTTCCTGTGTTCGTTCTAGATCTTTAATTTTTGTAAGTCAACAGGAAATGCCCATCAATCTAAACAACTTTTGCTAAGACGTCATTCCTATATATGTTATAGTGTCGCTGGGCTTTGGATGGAGTGTAACTCCTTGTGTGTTATTACTTATAGAACAAAAATACTTCAGCGCAAAGCTTCCGGGTAAACTATGTTCAAAGTTGACACGTCCGGCACGTGAACATAAAGATTTCTAAAATTGCTAACCCGGGAAAGAGCGACGTACAACTGACCATGCGAGAAACAACTGACACCGATATCTACTCCAGCAACACGAAAAGTCTGCCCTTGAGCCTTATTAATTGTCATTGCATAACACAATGATACTGGGAATTGCGTTCTTTTAAATTGGAATGGAAAATTATTTGGTATTATGGGAATTCTGGGAATAAAGACGGTTTCTCCTGCACCGTAACCTGTTAAAATTTGAGCCTCGATTATATTTTGTTGCAACTGGGTTAATTTTAGCTGGGTTCCATTGCAAAGTTGTGGTGGTCTTAAATTTCGGAGCAGAATAATCGGATGCCAATTTTTAAACAAATTTCATGAGAAGGAAGTCCGGGCATATTTAAAGAATTTAAAAATTCTATCGGGTAATTAGTGGCTTCTTGTTCATCGACCATTCTATTTATTGAACTATAAACTTTGCTTTCCCCCTGTATATTCGACAGTATTTTGTTATTAATCTCAGATGCCTAATCATTGCGAGGAGTTAAAATGGATCTTTCGCATCGCCAAAAATTGTCCCTATTTAATATAATTGTTACGTCACCGTAAACCGACGATATAAGATGTGGTTGGGATTGCACTATACAACATAACTCAGGCGTCAGAATAAGTTTTCCTTGGTGTAGTTGTGGATAGGTACCTTTCCCAATCTTTAATAATTTATCAGAAAATTGATGATCATCCGGGTTATCTCCAGTTCACACTAGCATGTTTATAGTCGAATGTAACGATTGTATATCACGCCACAAATAAGAGCTTTTTAGGCAAGCCCTAACCTCATCAGCTCAGGTTCCCCGTGGTATTACCAGTAAGGTTTGTCGGAAATCACCACAAAATAAAACCGTGATACCGCACATTGGTCGATCATTTTGTCTTATATCTCTTAAAGTTCTGTCTACCGCTTCTACTCCTTTTCGGTGGGCCATAGTACATTCATCCCATATGATTAAATTACACTCACGTAATACCTTAGCTTTGTCGCTATTTCTTGAAATAGTACAGGTTGGACTTTCCGTGCGATCTAAATCAATTGGTATTTTAAACATAGTGTGAGCAGTTTTACCTCCTAGTAGCAATGTTGCAGCTATACCTGATGAAGCCACGGCAAGAGCAATTTTACGCTGATTTAGAACATAAGCTAATATTAATTTAGTCAAAAAGGTTTTCCCAGTTCCTCCAGGTGCATCTAAAAACCATATTGTTCCCAAATTATTCTGAACACTCTCGCACACGCGATCATAGACTGAACGTTGTTCTGCAGTCATCATTGGGACACCGTTTTCTAATGTTGCCAGCAGTTCCATTGAGTTGTAACCAATCTCTGTAGAATAGTCCCTATTGGTAACCTCTCCGACTGAGGTTGGTGTTGGCAAACCATATTCACAGAGTGATTTACCGCCTACTGCTGTTAAGTGAAAATGAAGTGAAGTTCCTGAAGAGCTAATAAGCACAGATTTATGGCAAGATCACGGAAATTATCATTAGTTGCGCCTTCATGATTGTGAGATATATTCCGAAGAAAGTCTTCTGCAAATTTTTCTTTGTATTTTTGCCATAATTGTACAGCATCTGACAAATTACAAAATGTGAGTAATGTTACAAATAAATGGCGTAACCGTCGTGGATTATCACTAACACAGGATTCTGCTAAAGCGTCATCCCAATGCTGATCATTTTCAAACAAACGACGCGCTTGGCAAGCTGCATGATAAGTTGGATAAATAACATCGTCTACTTTTCTCAAATCTATAAATGATGTTGTTCCTCGCACTGTATGTAATAATAATCGCAAATAGAAACACTCAGCGTTGTTAGGATGAACGGTATACACTCTACCAAGAACATGTTCTTTGAAAATACATGACTCGCCATCTACAGGCCTGCCACGGCGTCTACAATTAAAGACACCTCGTTGCTTATCGTAGGTATAATACGATGGAACTTCCTCATATAAAAGAGATTTTGGAAAATCATCAGTTTGGCAAAGTCGAAAGAATGCTAATAAAGTTGTTTGTCTAGGTTTCTCAAATCGTTCTGTAACATTTTGGGCGTTGAAATATATACGTTGACCGCCTTCAAGATGAACATCCAGATGAGTCACAGGTCTCTCTCATGGATATCTTTCGTGAATGTTGAAACTTAAGATCCGCCACACAGCTTATGAAGAGCTGATATTTCTGCCTGACTGAAATCTAGTAACTTCGTCATGTTCATTTCTCAATGCAAATGTAACTTGGTCACTGCCCTTGTTAATAAACTTACAAATATATTTTATTGACTCTACACTATTACACATTTCAACATTTATGTGAGCTTGAAATGCTCTAGACATCACAGGCGAATACGGAACGACCCACCTATTATCTAAAGTAACCTGTTGTCCAGACACTCGCTTTTCAACAGTAAAACCACCATTGTCTCTTGAACGGCGACGATATAATGGGTATCCATCATGCCCTGTTACAGTTTCATCCACTAATGCTTTTGGATATCTTTTAGTGCAACGACCATCTTGCATGCAAGGAGCATTCCCGTTAAATGCACCACATGGACCGTGTATCATATGAGTTTTAACAATGTCGTATAACACGGGATCTGCAATCGGATCTGGAATTTCAGCACTGATTGAACTGTCTACATTATTAGGTCAAACCTTATCTTTTAACCAAAGCAGGATATGTGCGTGAGGTAAGCCGCGTTTTTGCCACTCAAAACTATACATATAACACAATACATCTCCAAAAATGTTATCTTTGGTAAGTAGATCTATCATTGATTTTAATTTTAAATGAAAAACTCTTGCGATAATATCATGGCGGTCATGCGGTGCTTGACCCTCAATAAGCTCCCGAGTAATTTCATCCCACTTGGGATTGGTAGTTACAGTAATAAATAAGTCGGGACGTCCATATTTTCTTACGTAACAAAAAGCATCTTGAGTACGTTCATGCATGTAGCGTGGACCACCAGTAAAAGAAGAGGGTAAAATAACTAAACGGCCCATATTCACCGTATCATTATCTTGCTGCATGGCGTCGCGAAGGTGCACGTATTCTTCAGCGCGCAGCTGCCTTTGATTAGATCGTATATAAACTAATCTTTCGGTTTCAATTTTTGCATACATGTCAACAATAAACTGATTCAATAAGCCACGAAAACGTTGAAAGTATACAAATCTATTCCATCTCACTTGCAAGTGGTAAAAATAAAATGAAGGCATGACATCTTTTTTTTATAATTAGGTGCGCCTGTACGCGGATCTGTTTGGTATAAAGCGAAATTATAACCATCTTCCCCTCGAGAGTATATCAAAGGATATTTCAAACTGTCGTAAGCCCTGTGGGTTTCGTAAATACGTTGCAAACGATTGTCTCTGGAACGGATAACGATATCACGCCTACCACATTCCTGGTCGACCAATACTACAGCAACTGCATTCGTGAATGGAACGTTATAACGCCCAGGGTGTTCCTGAGTTGGACGCCTATCGGCATTTATAACAATTTTATAATTTTTATCACCATCTTGAGGAAGAGCTTCTAATGCCGATTTAAAACTGCATACATACGAATTAACCTGATGCTACATGTTCTGAAGTTGTGAAATAAGTTCAGTATTTAAATTCGGGAAATATTGATTTCTTATATTCGACTGTTCGTTGTAGTCGGATACAAAAGATATTTGAAGAAACCTAGGTTGGTCTTCAGGCAAAAGGGATCCTATCAAATGGTAAACCTGACCTTGTATCTTAAAAGTAGGCATGAAAGGAACTTCTGAGATTTGTTGAGCATCAAAGGATGTAATTTGAAACGCATTATTATAAGTGCGAATATTGTCTAAGAACTGTTTAGATTGCACATGTTCCCCTAAAAGTAGGGACTTCAAAGGTTCCGGTGGATCTTCGAACGAAGGCAAATTTATTTTACCTCCAGAACAACAGAAACCAGCCGACTCCTTACTCCACTTTGAGGCATTACAAAAAAAAAACATACTACGTTCATATCGCCTATTACAGAAGATGATCTGTAATCAATTATGAGGTTATAAGCAAACCTATCACGTTTCTAGCATCACATATTTCCCGTGTATACATATAAATCTTCTTATGGTGAAAGAAAGAGTTTCTTACAAAAATATACTTTTCCACACATTCGGAGAGGAGGCTTTTACCATGCTCATTTATACTTTCATCACCATACGTATCCTTTTATAACCAGGTCTCTTCACCCCAACCCTTCCATTAAAATCAACCATCCTTATCATCTCCCAAAACTTAAAGTTAAAAAAAGTATCATCGAAATCCGTTCATCCAGAAAAAGTGATGAGGTAACACACATAAAAAAACATACAGTGGAATTGAATACCGTCTCCTTTTTGAAGTCGGTAGAAAAGGATGCACATAAAAATAATAAAAATTTAAAATACCTAAGTTCATATAATATCATTTGTATGTATTGCTATAAATATTTCATAACTATTTTGTACGTGGTAAAGCCATGCTGCTTCTAATTATGACCTGATATTTTGTCATAGTTTCTGTGTTATATTGTCTCATAGTGGGTAATTTGCCACAGTTGCCACGTTTGGTAGGCAGGACGAATTTATTTATTATTTTGAGTTATTATCGGGAAGATGCTGCTGCCATATCATCTTTTAGATTCCCCCTGTCCCCTCTTACGACGCAAACGTGATGTTACAGGTAATTGGATTCTATTGTGTCGTTAGTTTGTGTTTATTTACTTTTTCAACCGACTTCAAAGAAAGGGGGAGGTTCTCAATTCGGCTGTATTTTTATATATATTATTCTTTTTATTTGAAAGCTTATCTTTCTCATGTGGTTCCACATAAGAATGATCAAGATTTAACCAGTAGTTTTTGCGTTATCTTTAATAATGCGTATTTTATCACCCTTATTTTATAAAAAAAAAATGACTTCGACTACATTGATGATATTCTCATTTTATTTATGGTCACCCGAGGAAAGTGGGGCAAGTGTAACAAATGCAAATTATGTGGTATAACACGTTTATTTGGTTAAATTCCATCTATTAAACAACGCAGGAACTTTTACGCTATTAACTATATTAACAGGTAAGTAAGCTTCAACTATTTTATCGACAGACGTCATTTTTTTTAAAACTACTCAGAAAACTTGCCCCATATGGGAAAAACTCGTTATTATACAATAATGGACGTTGAAATTGTTTATAGATCTTAAAATATTTTGATATTAGTATAATCTCTTCAATTTTGTCGAAAACCACAGATAATTATAAAGTAACTGTAAAAAGAACTGTACTGTCACACTTGCCTCATTGATGGGGTAAGTGTGACAGTATTCCATCGCAATTAGTTTTAATTACCTTAAATTACATAATGCTTCTTGTAGATACTAAAATGCTTGATCAAATAAACAAGCACTTAATACTCGTAGTTGATGTTATGAAACTGAATTCTCTATATTAAATCCTTACAGAGTAGAAATATTTAAATGTCCATTACAGGTTTAATTAACTTATGTCATACTTGCCTCGGGTGACTATATATTGAAGTCGGTTGTACAAAATTTTTAATTTTACCACTTTTTTACTTTTTGTAAAGACTCAAACCGGAGATGGTCAACAGTGCGTAAAGCCGATACGTCAAGCGATTTCGATTACGTACGGCTCCGTGGCGCTGTAGCTTAGCGTAGAGTTGTGTGGCGCAGAGTGTGTTTTCGGATCCCGCACGGAACAAACATAATGATATACCAATAACTACCTACCAATAATTGCTCTGGCTCCGGACGTTTGCCCTTTTGGTATTTATGTATGTAAACTGCTTCCAAGATACAATCAAAAATTCTAGTGTAAGGGTAACTTTTTTTAAAGGAAGAAGAAGCTATAGTTAACGTGGTCGACTCAACTGGGGAAGCATCATTGTCTCACAGAATAAAAACGTAAAATAGCAGCTTAATGCTGCTGTGTTTCGTATGGTGAGTGCAGAGTACCGGAATAGGATAAAAAGGATTATTGGAAAAGAGGCATTCCATCTTAGTCCTTAGGGGTGACAATACATTTGCATTTTGATTCTTGATTACTGATAGATGGAGATATCTATGGCCCACAGCATCTACTTACCATCATGTGGACTGTGTGCTCGTTTGTCACCTTATTAGGTAAAAATAAAAGAAAGAATGATATCGTTCAACCCATGAGAGAGGCCTATATCCTGTATTTGGCTGTTCTGAGTGAAAAAAAGAATGCTTACTCTAATGAAGCTGACCTGTTATATATTTAGCGGGTAAGTGTGGTTGGGTGTTGAGCCATTTTCTTAGTTTATTAATATCTTCAATTTCGATCCCGGACTTTTTACATTCAGCTTCGATAGATGGAGACTGTGCGTCTTGTAGAAACATATTTCTGAAAATATACAAACAATTATTAGCATTAACAAACTGGAGAGCCCTGATAGCTCGGTGATTAATCGCTCGCTGTAAATATCACAGTGCGCGAGCAACCCGGTTTCGACCACGTCACCGATGATATTGTAAATTGCTATTTTAAGTGCTGATTTACCACGTGTTCAGCAGTGAAGGAAAACGTCGTGAGGAAACCTGCATGTCTGAGACATACATAGTTATACATTTCTCTGTCCTATTTTACGAAAAAAGTGTTTATTAAAAAAAAGAAACTAAACTGCATCGTCACAAAGGCTTCCGCCCTGGACTTGGAATCTGAATATTGCTTAAAATAATGTCCTTTAGACCGAGTTTCGGTCACAGCGGCCAATCTCAATAAGGACTAGCCATCTGGGCAGGATAGGATTATGGTGCCCAAGTGTATTTGTAAGAACAAGTGCACTCCATTTCCTCATTCTAATAGTCGCTTGGGACAGTTATCCGACACGGTGAACCAACGCCTTTACGTGCTTTCAGAGGAACGGGTTAAACACCGCCAATTTTCTGAGTCCGGGGTGCTACTGAGAATTTCTTGATAGAAAAACCCAATAATTGATTTTAGTCCGACCCGGGATTCGAACTCAGTACCCTCATGATTAGCAATCGCGTTTATGACATAGTGGTCCAACGAGATACCAAAAGGTAGTATTTTTGTGTATTATAAATACACAAAAATACTGCCTTTAATAATAATAATAACACGTTAACTGTAACACTTATTTTATTATCAAATATTAATATAAACAATTTCATTTAACTTTAATAATAATTTAAATTGAACCATAACGACTACATACAGTGCTAATCAATATGGAAATCCATGGAAGTATTATGATAATATTTCATTAATACAGCAACCGATTATGTTTCAGGGAAGTACGAGAGTGACTCGGAAAGTTCTTAGAAAATTAAAAATTGAACAAACCAGCAAGTTATTAGTTTTATTATATATTTTCAAAATAGTGTCCATTTACAACATTACATAGCCGCATCCGATGGAACCACTGAGAAAAGCACTTTGACCACTCGTCCTTAATGGTCTCTTTGATGACATTTTGAAACGCAGCCATAGCTTCCTTGACGTCCATAAAACGTTTTCCTCGAAGTTTTTATTTTATTTTCGGAAATAAATAAAAATCGCAAGGTTAGAGGTCAGGCTATAGGGCGGGTGACCTCGTAATTCCACGTCTGACGTCGCCAAGTAGTCGATTGTTTGCTTGGCGGTGCGCAACGAGGCGTTGTCGTGGTGAAGGACGATCCTACTGCGAGGTCGTTTCTCCCGAACTTTTTCCAAGACAAGTGGCAAACAATTGCTAGTGTACCACTCTGCACTAACTGTTTTTCGATCCTCTAAAACAATTGTTGCGTAATGACCTGTCTTTCCGAAGAACGAGGCCACCATCTTTTTTCCCACGCTTCGACCTCTCTTCACTTTAGTTGGCAACTCCTCGGAAGGGAACACCCAGACAGCCGACTATCTCTTAGTTTCAGGATCATAACAATAAATCCAGATTTCGTTACCTGTAAGTATGTCGAACACAGCATTTGAGTCACCTCCGTTAAATCTTTGAACCATTTCACAACACCAATCAAAACGACGGAATTATGGGCATTTGTCAAATTATGAGGTTAACCGGGGACAAAACTTCCTGACCGCTAAATGTTTCTGGAGGATTTTCTGCACTTTATTCATACCAATGCCTAAGCTTGTCCAAATCTGCTGATAAGTCACTCTTTTGTCAGTCTCTATCATACGCTGCACAACAATGATGTTACCTCCAGTCGTCGCCGTAGAAGGCCGTCCCTCACGCAGATCATCTGTGAGATTAGTGCGACCACGTTTAAACTCATTAAACCAGTTGTAAACAGTGGCACGAGATGGGGCTTCATTGTGAAAGGCCAATCGAAGTCTATCATAACTTTCTTGTTGACTTAAATGACATCGAATGTTATAAAAATCATTGTACATCATTGTTTTCGCGTTAAATTCATGCTGATGTGACACAGACAATCTTCAATTTGCCGCCAAATCGTAAACAAATGACAAATTAATAAAATACATACACAATAATATCTGCAAAGGGTTCCATTTTCAAAATTTGAACTTATTTTTTTATTATATCGTTTAAAAGTAGCCAGTTTCAAAAGCTTTCAGTGTCGCCCTTGCATGCGGGGTACAACACATTTCAAGTCAGTATGAAGCTATGTAATATAAAAACTTTTGAGTGCTGTAGAGATCTGTTTAGATTTTTTAATGAATATCTCCGCTCCGCTAGATTCACATCTGGATTTCCTACAGTGTCAAAATTGTACCGACGCGACGGTAGGCTGTTTAAAGGTAAAAGGGGATTAAATATACATATTAAACGATGCCATAGTAAAAGTATTTCGGCTTCACAGCCTGCCGTAGATAACTCTATCAGTAATTCTTCTAATGACAGAAATTTTTCCCTTTTTAAAAAAAAATTAAAATTACAATTATCATCGTAATGTACTAGTGGTTAAAGGAATTCCTAGATGTACAAGGATGCAACTTGCTAAAGCATTGTCATACACTATTCAAAATTGTTTCTGTAATAGTGAAAAGAATTGGCAAAAATTATTTACTTTCGCGCATTCTCATTTTCATTTTGATAAAACAATAAATAAATGAATTACGTCTCAACTAAAAGAGACACGTTTTCAAAATTTAGATTGCCCAATTAATACTCATTTAACTCAACCTTCTCCTAAATTTAATAAAAAAAGGTAGTTGAGTCGAAAGTAATGGATGGCGACTTAAAAAATGAATCCCGTATTTTATTCTCAGACGACATCCTGGCTCCTCGTAATGTTGAAACTTTTGAAGGACTTCGTCAGAAGCATTCTACGGTCAATCCTTCTCAGAATTTACCGCTACCTCCCAATACTTCCATGCAACGTTTACAAATCTCTCTAAAAGACACTTAGAAGCAATCATGTCATTTTCGAATGGCTCTGCTGGCGCCATTGACGGGATTACGCATCAACATCTTAAAGATCTTGTAAGCACTTCTGCCGGTGACGCCGGCGAAGTTCTTCTTAATGACATTACAAAATTATGTAATTTTGCAATGTCACACATGACGACGACGGTGCACTAGGAGGTAGAGCAGATGACTTCCTCAGTGATCTTACTCATATTTTTCGAATTTTTAAAAATATTGGTCTTGAACCAAATAGCAATAAATGTAAAATATTTTTCTCCAATAATTTATCTAGTTCTAACTGAGACACATTAATTCATAATTTCAATCATATTGCTCCGGTAATAAAAACTGTCTGTTGGTGTCAAGAAAACAGCGCTTAAACTCATTATTTCATATTTAAGTAATAGAATGCAGAAAGTTATTATCAATGGTAAAAGTTCTTCCGGATTGTCCATAATGACGGGTGTCCCTCAGGGCTCTATTCTTAGCCCATTGCTATTTTTAGTGTATATTAATTACTTACCTTCCTTGTAGGGGATAATCATGATATAGAATTATTTGCTGATAATATTTCCTTGATTTTTAAACTTAAACGTCTATCATTTAAATGTGGTTTAATGTTAATAATCTGCATTAAAACGGAAATAAAACTAAATGTATTAAATTTATAACAACGAATGTTAAAAATGTAAATACCAATGTGTTTTTAAATGGGGAAGAACTGTGCCCTGTTGAATCCTCTGTTTTTCTTGGCATCACTCTCGACGCAAAGTTTCAGTGGGACCCCCATATATCCAAACTAGCAAGCGGATTAAGCTCTGCAGCTTATGCTGTAAAAAAGATTGGAGATCTCACTAGTGTCGAGATAGATTAGTTTATTTCAGTTATTTCCATAGCATAATGTCTCATGGGATTTTGCTATGGGGAAATGCGGCTGATTCAGAAACTATTTCTGTTTTGCAGAAGCGAGTTTTACATAAGAGCTATTTACGACCTTAAACCGGGAGAGTCTCTTAGAGAAAAATATAAAGAAATAAATATATTAACTTTGGCCTTTCAGTATATTTACGAAAATTTAATTTATGTCTCTGTAATATAATATACTCTGTAAGCACTAGGAGCAAACACAAGCTAGTGATACCAGTACACAGAGTCAGTAATTAATTTTTGGGGCAATGTATTCGATATTACAACAAAGTTCCAGAAAATAGACAAGGTATCTCTATTACCAAGTTTAAATATTTAATTAAGCAAAAGCTGTATAAAAAAAGGTTATTATAATATAAATGAATACATGGTTGATAACCACTGGGAATGAGGTGATCACTTTCAAGCTGTTTCTAAAATAAATTTTGTAAATAGTTTATAATTATTTATATTGTAAAATTTATTTAAAAAAAAGCCCCACTGGGTTTCTTGCTGGTTCTTCCCAGGACTGAGGATTTTTTTTGGAACTAATGATAAAGTAAAAAATGACTTTCAATAAGAATTACTTATAATGAATATTGAATAAAAAAATATTCTATTCTGTTCTATTCTATTCTGTCAGTACGTAATCGCTATACCTGCCCCGTTGTTTTTCGATAGTATTAAACCTGTTTTAAAAACAAAATTTGATCAATTTTCAAACCACGCTAATAAATTGTATAACTTAAATCCATACATTGCTCTTACTATTTTGAAATATTGTCTCCTTGTAGCCTAGACTTACATACTTACTTCGCTCGAGTCCATCTGGAAATGGATACTTTAAAAGATAATTTATTGTTCTTTTTTGCAATTAAAACTGCTTAAAACTGCGCACTTTTTTCTGAACTCCCACGATCATTTGCATTTTGTTGTTAAAACGCAAAAAAATATTAATCATGATATATTTTACAAAAAACAATTTTTTCCTCATAATTACTTGGTGATTACTACGTTTTGTTAAGTTTTTTTTTTATAGAATAAGGGTGACAACACAACACAATCCTCCGCAGATTTCAAGATTTCTGGTCGCTGTAATCGATT